AGCGTGGCTTAACATACGGGACCCACTCCGTTGCTCTTATTGGTTGTAGGTCTATCCAATTGAGTGCAGAGGCATTTTTTTTCCTGGTTCGTTCGAAACACGCCCCATAATCACAGCTCTATGGAGCAGCATCAGACTCATTCTGACTAGAATTGAGTCGGACTACGTCAGGCTAGTGATGAAGCCTTTTTTATTCCTAAAAAGCAAAGAGGAGAGACAAGGAAGCAGTTTATTTTAGTAAATGATCATAATGGCCAATGTCAAATATTTGGCAAGCCAGTTTTATGTTAATATATGACTCATTCTACTGACACTTTCTCTCTAAATCAATGTTTATTGATTTGCTGTAGAAATCTTGGACTCTGTGCTGTTTAAAGAAATATTGTTTATTTAGAGTGTTGTTGGACAGTAATTGTGACAAAATGTTGCCTTTCTTGATTTTCAAACTGCTTCACCTGCTATTTTTCTGATAAAAGTCATTATAACACATCAAAGTGAGACCAATTATAACTGGACACATTCCTATTAGCTTTAAATGCTGCTCAAATCACAGCAAGAATGGTACAAATTTGGTGATTTATTGCAGATTTTACACTGTAGATTTAAAGACCTCAAACAACAAATTATATTCTTTCTTTATTGAAAAATCATAAGCAAAACTCAAAGAATATTTTGTTAACTGACCCTTTAGTTTGTATTAACAGTCTGTAGGACCGGAAACATTCAGTGACTCAAAAGCAAAATCTTCTTTACTGACATATTAAATTTTTGCTAAATGTAGCAAAGGTTTCAAGGATAAAATATCAATATTACTCATTTGTTGCAGAGACAAAGTTTGATTTCAAGACCATAAGAGGAAAGAGCTGAGCCTAACTGTGCAATACACTTGTTACCTGTCAGGTCTATAATGATTTAAAAATGCTTGTCTAGAAGGTTTAGACAATTATTTTTCACAAAAAAAATGCATTTTGTTTAGCACAGAAAAGAAGTTTCAGCAAAATTATTTCTGCAGTGATTTTCGGTGATAATGTTTTTATGTACTAAACACTGAAATATCTGACGATGGAATGTGTTTGGAGATAATATTACTATGTACCAACTTTAGGCCACTCCACAAGGATTTCAGCTTTAGGACATTTAGGAAATATTTATTTTTACTAAGAAGCTTAACATGTTTGATCGAAACTGTCTTCTTCCTCGTTGTGATGCTTTGAACACAAACACAAAAATATATCTTTATTACAGAAACAATAGAATCATGATTAATGGCATCTGAAACTTGCATTTTTCATCTCGTGCAGAAATATTACATATTAATAATAATAATAACAATAGTTGAACTTTATTAATCTCACCCTGGAGAAATTTACCACTGCATTTAACCCATCCCCTAAGCAATGGGCTGCCATTATGCGGCGCCCGGTGAGCAGTGTGGCGTTAAGGGTCTTGCTCAGGGTCCTAGACTGCAGGCTGCGGGTATCGAACCGAATACTTGCATATTACCATCAATCGATTCTAATCTAATCTCATAATCAAATCCTTCAGTGTCTACAGTTGTTTCATTTAAAATAAAAGTATTGGTTAATTAAATGGAGAATCCTCCCAAATATAGAGCAAACAGAAACATTACTGTGTTAAGACTTCATCCTGTCACAGTATGGACCAGCTGTTAATAAACACAGTAAACAGGATTCCTTCACTGTCTGGATAGGTATTAACTGAGAATGTAAATAACTGTATTTCCTAGTATATCTTCCTATCCCATTGTCTGAATTATGTCTTTTTTTCTGTCCTTCCATTTTAAATTCCTTTGAGACTGCTGTAGATCGTTGATGTGATGATAACTAAAACTATCAGCTTTTAACTGTCAAATGTAAGGAGAAAACTCCCAAAATATAAAAAATAGACAAAAAAAATCACACCAGTGTTATTTTTCCAGCCTCCCTCCCTTCTTTTCTTTTAAAAGTTACATATTGCCATTTGAAAAGAAAATCTACTATAAGCTCTTTGTAAACTGAACTGTTTTATATTTCAAAACAAAAATCAAGCACAGAAAGATCTGGAAAGGAAAGTCTGGAAAAGTTAAAATTTGTACAAAAAGACATTCTGAATACATTATTCAGTCTGGCTCTAATCTGTTGATGGGGACATTTTCTCCCTACCTGAATTAATTAAACACCTTTTCTTCAGTTAAACTAATAGATAAATTGGCTAATGTTTCTTGGTTACTCACTAATTTATATCCAAACAGCTTCATAGCAGGTTCACAGACTTGCTGCACTACCTGAGCCAGTTTAAAAGGAAACTTCTTTCTCCATTTATCTGCTTGTTCTGATGAATTCCTCTGACTGGAATAAATATTGTTATCTGACTTTTGTGTGTTATTTAAGATCCATTCCCTGACTTGGGAGTTGAACGGTATTCCTGTAAAGTTGTACATTTCCTCAGCCTTCTTTAATGGTTGCTGAGTAATATCCTCATAACGCACCAACATATAGTGACTCTTTAGCCAAGTCGGTCGGCTAAGTCCCAGTTTTGCATTAAACTGTAAATGACTGCAATATTCTCTGATGCCCTTCATCCCCTCGTCATCCTCAGGTACCTTACCATGCTGCGCCCAGTACTTCCATTTATTATAAGTAGAGAAAGCCACCATGCGGGAAGCAACGATTGCTCTCGGGTCTCGAACCAGCTGAATAATTTTTAATTGCAGGTCAGGGTCCTCTATCAGAGGCTGCAGGAGGTCCAGCTGTTGCAGACGGACGGTCTTGATGACATGATGTTTTCTGGAGAGGCAGGACTCCGATGCAAGCGTCAAATTCAGTGGGCCACAGTGGGGGCTATTACAATGATACAAGATACAAAAATTATATAATTCAATGAGGAAAAACAAAAACTAAAATGTATACAATTAAAAGATTACAGTAGTAAAAAAAACATCTTAAAGCAGCCTGTGTATGGACATATTGAAATCAACAGTTGTACAATAACAAATCAGTTCTTATAAATAAAGAAATCCATTTTGAATTGTATGTCAACATAACTTACTGTTCTTGTGAGGAATAAATGAAATCACCCTCATATTTTTCCACCTAAAGTTATTTTCAGATAGACATCATATGTATGATTGATGACACCATTGTTATTTTGCATTTTGAAGGAGATTTAACCAGATTTTGAGTTTACTTTGATCCTTACTACTGTAGATGTGTGAATCAACACCATGAGAGGAGATCAAAGTTCAATTATTATTAATATTATTATTATATTTACTTGAATAGCGATTAGAAAAACAAGTAATGTTAGGAGTAGGTTTACTGTACTGTACTACTTACTATAACTTGAGTAATTTTCTTGTACAGTATTGCTAATTGTACTTGAGTATAGTGTGTCCCTGTCCTAACATATATACAATTCTAATTGTAAGGATCGATTTTCAAAGTTTTATTCTGAAAAAAATTCACAAATTTTTTGTTCGAGTTTTTAAAACTTGGATATAAATCTGTTTGCCAGCATAGTTTACAAACATTAAAGCTGATTTCATTATCCAACAGTTACTCAATACTCAAGTAGATTTTCCACCAAATAATTTTTTACTTTAAATTAAACTTTTGGGTACTCTCCCCACCTCTGCTGAGAAGTGAAACAGGAACTAGCTTGCAAAATAGTATCCAATTGGCTCAGAAAAGTCATTAAATACGTTTATTTTTTAAATATCTTGTTAAGCATTCTTCGGTAATTTAGGTATAGAAATAAATACTTATAGAACAATAATTACAATATTAATATATTTATTTATTTAATGGAATACTTCTTGACTATTTGTAAATCGCAGTATTTATTTATTTACATAATTTTGAATAAAACAGCTCTGCATACCCAAGTAGTGTTTACCTACATATTTACCTGTCTAATTTTATTATTCTCCACCGGCCGTAGCGATAATTGAGGAAGGTGAGTGAATTCATTTTCCTCTAATGAAGGAAATAAACTTATCGTTTATCGTAATAACATAACGTATATAGCATGTTTAGTGTCTGAGCTACTGAGAAGTTAAAGATGTTTTTTAAGATTGAATAGAAGCCAGGCAAACTCTGACTGGGCCATTTTGGTACAGTTTGGAAATTTGGAATGCTGGTGAACTGTTTTTCTTGAAATTTTGTGTAAAATATCTCAAAAATATTTGTTTTGGTAACTTAAAGGTAAAAATACAACATTGTTCACTCACCTTCCTCAATTAAACACACATTTATTCTGAGTAAATAAGTTTTTAATGTCCTAAAATGAATGTCAACCTTTAACAACCCACATGTTTACATACAAAATGCCTTATGTATGTAAACATGTGGGTTGTAATAGGTTGACATTCATTTTAGGCCATTGAAATCTTATTTACTCAGAATAAATGCGTTTCAAATTTTCAATTCCACTTCATCCCCCTGGACCTTTATGTCAGTTGCCAACAAGATTAGCAGTTAAAGCAGTGCACAATTTGAGAATTGAATATAAAGTACGATAATGCCTTTTTCGGAAAATTGACCTACAGGCTTAATTATTTTTACTGATTTAGAACCATAAAATGAAAGAATATATACAATACCTTGTGCAGACAGGAGTTTCACAAAGCGCTCGACTAGAATCTCTGTGGTACAGAGAAGAGGTGACATGTTTCTTTGGTGGAGGATCGATGAAGAGCTCAAGAAGAGAGAAATCACACCGAAAGAGTGTCCAGAGTACGTTCCGATAGAGTTCTTCTAAGAGTGTCCTGTTAGCTTTTCTTGATTTGCTAACATGCCACAGAGGCTCAAACAAATAGAACATTGTCTCTCCATGGTGGTTGAAAATGTTCCCCACAAATGAAGAGCCTGTTCGTGTGCTGGTCATGATCAAAATATTTGTATAACTGCTGTTGTTTCCTCTGTTGGCAGGCTGGCTGGAGATCATCATTTCAAGAAGGTTCCTTTGCTCTTTAGGTAATGAAGTATTGTTGTAAAGAGGAGAGAACGGTGGCTGCCACTGGAGCCCCTTATATACGACCCTACTGAGAGAGAAAAAACTGATTATCAACTATATCAACATAAGAAAGTTTATAAAAATAAACTGAAAAGAACTGTATTTTGTTTTACAATCATCTGTCAAAATTTGCTACTTTAAGGTGTGTGTATCTCAGGTAGCACATTCACAATGCAGTTACTTATTACTAAAAGTTTCCACAGATTCAGTGATTTATTATAAACTAGTTTTCTTTATTTTTGGGGTGCTGCAATGTACTAGTCTCACAAAATGCAGAGAACAAGTCTGCAAAAGTAAACAACAGAACACGTAATGTAATTCCCTTGTACATAATCCTGACTCATAAAACCATGTGCACACACAGAACTAGGGAACTTTCATTCATAAGTCACATACTATACAACAAAAGTTTGCAACCAATACATAATAGCATTCATCCTGTTCCATGAAAAAAAAACAGGATGAATGCTATTATGTATTTAAAAAGTAACTGCAGTGTGGAGAATGGAAGAAAGTAGCAGTTTAATCAACATATTCTCATTATCAGGCATATGAAATCGTACGAAAAGTTATGCACACTATTTCGTACGTTTTGGACGTTTTTCCTCAAAAAACCACATCAGAGCACATGCGCTGGCAGACAGAAGAAAAAGCAGATCCGTGGACGGACGTAAAATTGGGAAAAACTGTGCAATCAGCACTTATTCATGTCTCTAACTATGTTGCTTGCTGTTTTATATCTTAGGGTTAGGGTTAGGGTCAGGGTTAGGGCTAATTGTAATTTATATTCTATATTCCTGAATGGTGCGTCAAATGCGCATGCGCATACGACGAAAAAAACGTCCAAAATCGTACGAAAAGTTATGCACCATAATTTTGTACGATTTCATACGCACTCATAATGAGAATAGGTTGGTTTAATAAAGGTTTAACTAAGAGTTGGATGTAGATACAAGCGCAATGCTTGATTGAATATGATCGGCTGAAAACTGTCGTGTATTATCTCTCTTCTTAACGACTTAAAGATTGGGACTAAGTTTTGTAAAAATTCAAAGTTCTTAAAAGCTGTAGAAAAAGTCTTCAGACACTGATAAAAAATTAGGCAGAGGCAACTGAGTCCAGGTCCAGAGTGCTTTATTGCAAAATACAGATAAAACACCTGAATGCGTACCGGTCCACATCTGACTTACAAACGGAGACAGTCCCACTTATATTCACTCCCGGGGCTCGGGGCTCTTTCATCTTGGTGGAAGACCCTCCTCCAAACCATATTTTATATTTTTAATTGAAGCCTTTCTTTGATCTATCAAAGCNAACCAGTCTTCATCCTTGGTCAAGAAAAAAAATTGATGCCTGAACTTGCATTCCCTTCTAATTCTCCCATTTACAAAGTATCCAACATAGTCACATTGTGCACCATTACACAGGGGGGATTCTGCAGTTTTTAACCTTTTAAGGCTTACCGTGTGAATATCTCACACCTTGCTTTATCTGCGGTATGGATCACACCATTAACCACCAGAGAGAGGAATTTGATGGTGAGGAAAAATTTAAATGTGTACTGTTTTGATCTTGATTTTAAGCCTTGTATAAGCATTGTTCTATTTTTGTGGATCTGACTAAGGTCAATCTACGAGTAAAGTTTCATAGGAAGTGACAACAAATGTCTGACAGAAATTATGATGCATTCTGACTTCAGTTCCCCTCAGTCACTATCTGTTACCAAGTTCCTCTCTTCCAAAATGTGCGTACACTGTACACATGGGTGAACACATGCCACCTCAAGTGGTAAGTCTCCTGTCCTGCAAATAGAATGCAAATTATGATGCAAGCAAATTATCTGAAGACCCTTATCGCCTGCTTTGGGGAGAAGCGGCCTAGCGCTTGGAATCATGAGTTCCTGAGTTCAGTCTATTAGCCTGAGGTTCAGTGTATCCTGAGGTTCTGTTGTAAGTCTATTAGCAGCCCCACTCCCACTGTGGGTCCCTAAGCAGGACCCTTGACCCTCACACTTCCTGGATGCCCCACAATGGCAGCCCACTGCTCCCCAAGAGGAAGAAGATAGATCATTTTGTTGCTCTGTACTTGTGACAGTGTAATGACAATAAAGCGCTGGCAAAGAAAACGTTGATGTGAGGGGCCACACATTTTTAATAAAATTTTCTTAAATATAAATTGTTTTATAAAATAAACAGCTTCTCAGCTGCTGAAGACAGTTAACTTGAACATTAACAGATATTGACAGATTAACTGAATACAGTATGTGCATGTCACAGATGGGAAATATTTAAACAAGCTGTTATCTGTCTTACAGATAACATTCACTGATCACTCTCCTCTGTAAACAAGACGTGTGTTTAACCAGCTCTTTTAGGCTGTGTCTCTGCGGATCTATAAGCTGTTTCAAACATTTTCCTGACCTAATTTTAATCATTCCTTTTCCCTGTGGCGATAGAAGGAGCGAAGTACTGTAATCTCTAAGCATCTTCATCTGGTTTGAGATTTATTTTTTGTTTGATAGTGATTTTTGGGAATGAAAGCTGCCTGTTCCAGGCAAAGCTGATTTGATCAAAACGACACAACCTTTGTATGAGAGTCAGAATATGTGAATTTCAGGCCCTGTTTTTTTGCATTTGAAGGCTCTGTTAATCAATCCCTTGGTCTTTCGAAGTTGTGAGAGGGTTAATGTATGATAATTGCTTTGTCAAAAAAACTTCAATAATATTAGATTTGTACAATGGATTTCTTCTCTTTAATTATGTATTGTAACTAAAGTCAAACAGGTGTTTTTTTTCACGTACCTTGAGAAGATAATGACAAATGCCAAAATACCTATGAAGATGAATTTGGACCTGGTAACACCAACGATGAATTTGGTTGTTATACATGACTTCTGGTTATCCATGGTATAAAGTTTGTGTTGGTTGTAGCCTGTCATGAAAAACCAAAGGATTAATGGTTCTGCAAGAAGAAAATTTTAAATCAATTTGTTGTCAAGAAATTATAGATTTTTTATCACGATAAAGCTCAGCAACATTAAAATCCCAAGTGAAAAGTGTACAGAAAGAAACAAACTTTAAAGCTGGGATGATCTTAAATATATGAAGGCTTTTCTTCTAAGGTCACATATCATATACATCTTTAAGCCTTTACTGGCTACGAAGAAATTGTTTTACCTCGTTTGTGGTCAACAGCATACAATCATTTTAGGATGAATTATGTCAGTATTTGACCTTGATCAATCAATAAAAAAATAACTATCATTTATAAACTTATTAACAGTGAAAGGATCCACTCTGAACTGATCAGTTTTATTATCATAGCCTTTTCTGGGTACACATCGAACCCATTCACAACATTGCATTGTGCAATTATGCCTTTTAGTTATATATTTATTTAAAAAGTACAGTGCATAATCATAAACATTTAAATGTTATTATGACAGATCAAGCCAGATCCTGGATATATTTTGCTTTCATAACATTTTAGACTTTTGGTTATCCACACTCATGTGCTGTAGAACTAGTGTACTGTGCTAGAACTACTTTGACTGAGCAAGGCGATCTTCTAGATAAGGTGTCTGCAACTTTAAGAAACCAAAGAGCAATTTTTACTTTCCACCATTTAGAGCCCCAAACATTATTTCATCTTTTTAAGAAGAGAAAAGATAAATAATATCTAATAAATATTTCAAATTTTTGATTTTAAGATTAAAAAAAGACAAAATTTGCAAAAAAATGTATAAATATATTTTCAATAGGTACCTCAAATTACAGAAAAATTTTATGAAAAATATTTTTCCACTTTTTCCACAAAAACCAAACAAAAAATATTTCTGTAATATTTTACTTAGACAGACTTAAACAACTTTATTGGCATTTTGTATACACTAAATGCCGTTTCAGTAATACAGCTTTTCAACAGTTAATGAGCAGCTTTGCAATAAAATGAACATTATCATTTTATAAAGTGCAGCAGTGATCAAATGTAAACAGTGTGGGAGAAAAACATGGGTCAAAAGGCACTGAGGTGGAAGTTCAGATCTGTGCAAGAACAGCAAATATATATGGTGCAAAAACGCAGTGGAAAAATATTTTTGAGTTGAGTTATATTTGGTATAATGTTATCAGTTTGATGCAGTATCTCAATTTGTGACTTGATTTAGACATTTCCCTACAGTTCAGAAGTCTGATGGCAGTGGGAAAAAAGCTGTTACACAACCTGCTGGTCCTGCAATGATGTGAAGCTTCTTCCCAGAAGGCAGCAGGAAGAACAGTCCATGGTGGGGATATGAGGGGTGGCTGATAATGTTACGGGCTCGGGACACGCAGCGCTGGGATGAAATGTCTTTTATGGAGGGAAGAGGAGTCCCGGTGATCCTCTCTGCTGTTCTCACCTTCTTCCAGTCTGAGGCACTGCAGCCTCCACACCACACAGTGAGACAGCTGCTCAGAACGCTCTCTATGGTGCTTCTGTAGAAGGTGGTGAGGATGGGTGGCGGCAGGTGGGCTCTCCTTATACTCCGCAGGAAATGCAAGCGCTTCCATGCCCTTTTGACCAGTGAGGTGGTGTTTACAGATTACTGTAGATGAGGTTGTCTTTAATGTGCCCCCCTCGGAATTTGGTGCTGTTGACCACCTCTGCAGCTGAGCTGTTGATAAGCAGTGGAGCGTGGTTAGGCCGGTTCTTCCTGAAGTCCAAGATGATCTCCTTCCTTTTTCCACATTCAGGATTCGGGTTGTTGTCTCTGCACCAGCTCACCAGCTGCTCCACCTCCTCTCTGAAATCCTGGTCGCAGGTCGGCTTTGATGAGGCCCACCAGCATGGTGGGCCTTTGATGAGTGGTAGGCGCTGGTGGTGAACCTGGGCAGTCGTGTGTCATCAGAGTTAACAGCAGGGGGTTCAGGACGCAGCCCTGAGGGGAGCCTGTG